CGGTTCAGGTGGTAATAGTCCCATAACGCCGATGATAGTGAAAGTGAACACGACACAGAGATTGTGAAGACAATGATATGTTCCAGGCGACGAGGGACTCTCCTGACGGATCTTTGTCATGCAAATATTGATTAATGACCCGCCGGAGGGTGCTGCTCCCGCCGGTGAACCCGCGCTTGAACCAACATACTCAAGAATCTTCGCATCGTCGCCACCAGACAGCGAGAGACTCCCGGGAAAGCAGCGCCTCTAGGGGGTCGTGTAACTTGTATAAACTCCTGCTGCTGACTAACGACATCGTTTTCTAACTTGCGAAGTCTCCTTCCGAAGTCGAGACGACTTTGTGTATGTGTGCAATTACTCCCTGATACGCGTTGGGTCGTTCTCATTTACACAGATTTATCTGTCTGTCTGTGGAACACGCAAGGGTTAATGGACATATTAGTGGTGCTTCTCCCGTTTCTCTCTCTCTCTCTCTCTCTCTCTCTCTCTCTCTCTCTCTCTTTTTCACATTCCTACGGGCCAAACCAGGGGAATCAAACTGTTTTACGGACCGGATCTGATCGTATTCTGGAGAGGCGGATTGACAGTCTTTGCAACCAACTCCTCCTCTCTGCAATGAGACACTGAAAAAACCACCTGTGAGCCATCATTCTTAGAACCTTGCCACAGCATGCTAATGGTCAAGCCATTAAGCAATAACAACCACCCCTCCCTCCCTTTTCCCCTCGAATTCAATCCAACTTTCCCTCCAACCCGTAACTTCAAGTTCCCCCCCTCCCCTCCCCTCTGTCACTAGTAAACTTTAAGTTCCCTGCCTCTCACCCGTAACTTTAAGTCCTCCTGCCTCTGCTGGCCTGACACTTTGAGTCTTCAGAGGGATCTTTGATGGGTAAACATTAGGGGGAAAATGTTTAGGTATTTACCTTCCGCTTGTTGCCTTGTTATACAAAGTTGGGGAAGGTCCCTGGCGGAGGGGGAGGGGGCACGACTACACCCCTATACTCTATACAACATACACCCTGTATACAATACACAATATATTAACGTGGATTATGAGGAGCATACACACACATCCTCACTATATCCTCTCACAGTTGGGTTTATCGTGTTCGCGCGCACTCGCTTGCACGCACGTAGGCACACCACACACACACACACACACACACACACACACCACACACACACACACACACACACACACACACACACACACACACACACACACACACACACTCGGCCAAGTGACTGAGGGGATCCACTTCACTCAGCTGGCCACAAACAGCTGGCCACCAACACCACCTGGCCACAAACAGCTGGCCACCAACACCACCTGGCCACAAAACAGCGCCACCTGGCCACAAAACAGCTGGCCACCAACACCACCTGACCACAAACAGCTGGCCACAAACAGCTGGCCACCAAACACCACCTGGCCACAAACAGCTGGCCACCAGCACCACCTGGCCACAAACAGCTGGCCACCAACACCACCTGGCCACAAACAGCTGGCCACAAACAGCTGGCCACCAACACCACCTGGCCACAAACAGCTGGCCACCAACACCACCTGGCCACAAACAGCTGGCCACCAGCACCACCTGGCACAAACAGCTGGCCACCAGCACCACCTGGCCACAAACAGCTGGCCACCAGCACCACCTGGCCACAAACAGCTGGCCAGCAGCACCACCTGGCCACAAACAGCTGGCCACCAGCACCACCTGGCCACAAACAGCTGGCCAGCAGCACCACCTGGCCACAAACAGCTGGCCACCAGCACCACCTGGCCACAAACAGCTGGCCACCAGCACCACCTGGCCACAAACAGCTGGCCACCAGCACCACCTGGCCACAAACAGCTGGCCACCAGCACCACCTGGCCACCAGCACCACCTGGCCACAAACAGCTGGCCACCAGCACCACCTGGCCACAAACAGCTGGCCACCAGCACCACCTGGCCACAAACAGCTGGCCACCAGCACCACCTGGCCACAAACAGCTGGCCACCAGCACCACCTGGCCACAAACAGCTGGCCACCAGCACCACCTGGCCACAAACAGCTGGCCACCAACACCACCTGGCCACAAACAGCTGGCCACCAACACCACCTGGCCACAAACAGCTGGCCACCAACACCACCTGGCCACAAACAGCTGGCCACCAACACCACCTGGCCACAAACAGCTGGCCACCAGCACACCAACTGGCCACAAACAGCTGGCCACCAGCACCACCTGGCCACAAACAGCTGGCCAGCAGCACCACCTGGCCACAAACAGCTGGCCACCAGCACCACCTGGCCACAAACAGCTGGCCACCAACACCACCTGGCCACAAACAGCTGGCCAGCAGCACCACCTGACCACAAACAGCTGGCCACCAGCACCACCTGGCCACAAACAGCTGGCCACAAACAGCTGGCCAGCAGCACCACCTGGCCACAAACAGCTGGCCAGCAGCACCACCTGGCCACAAACAGCTGGCCAGCAGCACCACCTGGCCACAAACAGCTGGCCAGCAGCACCACCTGGCCATAAAGCAAGTGCCTCCCTCCCCAACTATGGTCCAGTTCACACGAAACTTTGCACAATAAATATTTTTGCTTTCATAGCTTGAAACTCCCTAAGTCCATCAGGGAGAAGGAAGACTCAAAAAGGGAAGGGAAAAGCGTGGATAAAAGAAAGGGTAAGGGAGGACACAAGGGAAAAGGAGACTTGGGAAAGGGGGTGGAAAGGGAGGAATTCTTGCATTCTGTCATCTGATGCTTCCGTGTTATTTCGATTCAAGTCTTCCTTTCAGTATAAATATATGAGTGTGTAAATACGAGGCCCGGGGGTCGAGGACCCCCTTACCTCACAAAGGGAGATGAAGATCTCCTGAGAGCATCCTCCTGGGAGAGAGGGTGGGGAGGGGGTGGGGAGGCACCTTCCCTACTTTCTCCCCCAACCTACTACCTATTTTACCCTTTTATTTACCCCCCCCCCCCACTCCCCTTTCAATTTGAGCAACTCCCTCACCATTTCCAATCAACTACTCTTCCTCTCTCCACCTTACTCACCTCTTCCTTAGCCTCTCGCCTTCTCCTCATTCTTTAGCTTCCTCGCTTCTTCCTTCTCAACCCCCCCCCCCCACCTTCCCCCTAAACCCCATTCCCCCCCTCCCTCCCAGCCTCAGATCTTGCCAAAACTTGTAGTCAGAGTCAAGCAAATCATTTTCCTTCCACAAATAGAGCGACTGGAAGGTCCAAAATAGAGCGACTGGAAGGTCCAAAATAGAGCGACTGGAAGGTCCTAAATAGAGCGACTGGAAGGTCCTAAATAGAGCGACTGGAAGGGTCAAAATAGAGCGACTGGAAGGGTCCTAAATAGAGCGACTGGAAGGTCCTAAATAGAGCGACTGGAAGGGTCAAAATAGAGCGACTGGAAGGTCCAAAATAGAGCGACTGGAAGGTCCTAAATAGAGCGACTGGAAGGTCCAAAATAGAGCGACTGGAAGGGTCAAAATAGAGCGACTGGAAGGTCCAGCAATAAACTGTGCTCTGGGAACTGCTCAATTAGTCGGGCCGCTTGTACTGGATATCAAACAGTGGCCTTGGTGGAGATAGATAGTAGAGGGTCATTCCAGTGGAGGGGGGGGGGGGAGGGGGGGAACGGGGGGGGGGGGAGGGGGGGAAGGGGTCGTTCCAGTGGAGGGGGGGGGGAAGGGTCGTTCCAGTGATGGGGGGGGGGAGTTTCGTGTCAGAGGGCCGGTCATTGGAGGTGAAAAAGGTCGTTCTTTAGGTATCACATAAGCGCACACAGATATCACGATATCGATACGATGTCGTCGTTGATATCGATATCACGTTGATATCATGCCAGACCTGTCCCCTGAAGCCCATATCAAGAGGATAACATCGGCGGGATATGCCAGGTTGGCTAACATAAGAACGGCCAATAGAAACTTGTGTAAAGAATCTTTCAGAACTTTGTATACCACGTATGTCAGACCAATCCTGGAGTATGCGGCTCCAGCATGGAGTCCATATCTAGTCAAGCATAAGACTAAACTGGAGAAGGTTCAAAGGTTTGCCACCAGACTAGTACCCGAACTGAGGGGTATGAGCTACGAGGAGAGACTACGGGAATTAAACCTCACGTCGTTGGAAAACAGAAGAGTTAGGGGGAACATGATCATCACATACAAGATTCTCAAAGGAATTGATAGGGTAGATTAAGACATTATTTAACACAAGGGGCACACGCACTAGGAGACACAGGTGGAAATTGAGTGCCCAAATGAGCCATAGAGACGTTAGAAAGTATTTTTTTAGTGTCAGAGTAGTAGACAAATGGAATGCATTAGGCAGTGATGTGGTGGAGGCTGACTCCATACACAATTTCAAATGTAGATATGATAGAGCCCAGTAGGCTCAGAAACCTGTACACCAGTTGATTGACAGTTGAGAGGCGGGCCGAAAGAGCAGAGCTCAACCCCCGCAAGCACAACTAGGTGAATACACACACACACACACACACACACACACACACACACACACACACACACACACACACACACACACACGTAAATTCATAC